TTGGCATTTCATTGGCCCATTATTTACTCTTTCAGACAATTGGCTTACTGAAATAAAATCCTGAGTACTGGACACTCAAAAGAATGAACTCAATGTAAATGTTTAATGTAAAGTTGCTTTTATTTTGATTTGTAACACACAATAACATGGAAAAGTGACACACTCTAGAGGAAATTTACACAGTGTATTAGACTGTTGCCATTTGGGTGTATGGCAATACACAATATATGCGCTATATAAAGTCACATTTCATTACATAACCTGTAAGTTTGCAAAAATATAAATTTTCCTTTTTCCCCATTCCATTATCAAACTCAACACTCTTCTTAAGCCTGGGTGATGAAATCCTGCAGTGCTACCCTAGATTAAGTGTAATATGATATGCAGCTAGAATGACTAACAAAATAATCAATAATATTACACTGTAAGTCTTGCTGCTGTTTAGACTTTTTTCTGTTTCCTGTTCAGGTCTCTGGGATACCTGCATTCAGAGGGTCCGCTGATTATTAGACTAAAGAACAACACATCTTTTAGGAAGGGAGCCAGCTTCAGGATCTGTTGAAGTCCAACAGTGATATATGACTAGCTCAGAGTAGAGTATAACCTGTCTGAAACACGGCCCAACTGGGTTCCTCATTCAGTAATAAACATTCACAACAGAGAGAAAGGAAGGAAAACACCACTATAGAAACCCCTTGTTTTGCCTATACTACTTTGCTATTTAATTTTTGCTCTGCCTGATGTCAAACACTACCAATCACGGTAGTGATTTATGATGAGAAACTTTAATAATTGACATAACTGATGCTTTAAATAGACACTGCCTGTTTGTAATGTATTTTAGATATGCAGAATGGTGGCGGCAGCGCTTTCTTCTCGACTCTTCAAGTGTGTTTAACATTAACTGTTAATAAAGTCAAGCTTGACTGATGTAGTCTCTCCAGAATCAACATCAGTGGCAGTTGCCTTCATTTCAGTGGAGCCAAATTTTATTTCCAATTTAATTTCACGACTCAAGCCTCCATCAGTTTTGGGCATTCCCACTTGAAAAACCCCAACCAGCTCAACCCCCGGCTCATCGATAAACTGCACCTGTTTTTCATTTGTGCTGAAGAACTGGAAGGTGGCAAATGTTTGATTGGTGTGTGATGGATTAAAAAAGAAATGTCGAACTTCATCACAGTTGACCGACTCTCCCTTTCTAACGAATGTTTCGAAACAGACATCACAGTACGTCTGTCTCTCACTGTTCACATAGCTAGTCTTGCCTTTGTGTAAGACCTCATCGAAGGGCGCATCTATTCTGATCCCGTATGTTAGAGCACTCATACGGGATTTGACCACTTTGGGCTGTTTGGCGTATCTGATTGCTCCTTTGATTATTACTACCTGGGGCTCAACAGGGCAGACTATCTTGCATTTATCAAAGCGCTCCTTCAGAAACTTCTTCAGAATTTTACATTCAGCAAAGCCTCCGACTAACAGCATGTACTCGATGTTCAGCTCAGGGTTGCTCATGATCTTCTCTAGTTTCTCTGCTGTTGTCTTGAGACTTTCATCAAAAAAGCTCTGCAGTTTATCCTCTTTGATTATGATCGACCCCTCGTCCCATTCCGCTCCCTCAACACCCTCAAAGTAACTCTCGATTGCCTTTTCTTTCTTGGCCAGTTCCTGCAAGGTCACTGGGCACTGGATCAGCACAAGTTGATCACAAGATTTAGCTAGAGCAATGTCATATTTTAATTTCAGCGCCTCTGCTGGGAAATTTTGTTCAAACTTGTTGTAAATTTTCTCTGAAAATATCTCTTTCAGAAAAGAGATGAACTTCCTGTCTACGGTCTGTCCACCCATGTCATTTCCGGAAGCAGCGTTCAGTTCTTTCAGTTTGCCGTCCTCGACCACCTCGTGTACCGTTATATCAATAGTGCCACCTGCAAAATAAGAATGACGTTTAAATCTTGTACATCATCATCAAATGTGGAAAAGAATGACATTACTAACAATACTAGATCTCTAAACCACACAAAGTGTAGATCACTTATTTTTGTGAAACTAATGACTTTATGATATTACAATATGTGATGAATAAATAATGTGCCAAAACTACATTCAGTTATCAAACTGAAAACTGCTTAGCGGTGGTTATTATGCTCAACATCTTAATCCTCTCCTTTATTTATAATTTATCACTTAAAACCTATTACCAACAGTAATTAGGCTTGTCACTTATACTAAAGTGAAAATTAAGATACTTTAGCCCTAGCTCTTGCAGATCACTGGAAAACACCCACTATCACTGAACTACAACTCTGCCATTGAACAGAACTACAATTCCCATCAGGCACCTCACTCACACACCAGTTCCAGATCACCCCTGATTAATTGCACACATCTGTAGAAAGACTGACTAGATGGACTACATATGCACCTCACATTCTCACACACATTGCTGAGTCTTGTTTGCTGTAACATTTCAGGTTGTTCTATAATCTAGTCTTGCCGTGTTTCCTGAATCTTGTTTTGTTTTAGGTTTGTGTAGTTTTGCTGCTTACGTTGACCACTTTGCCTGTGACCACGACTACATTTTTGGATTACCCTCATGATACGTTTGTATCATTAATTAGAGCCACCGGAGCCGGGAACACTTTGCCAAAAGACATTATAATTTGAAAGGCATCTAAGCTTATGTTAATCTGTTTCTCCTTGTGCCAAGGTCTCCATAATCCTGGACCCGGCCCGTATCCTGAGCAGATGATGTGGTGCATTTGTTATGTTATTGTTCTTTATGATAATTAAATTTTATGTCTGTACAAAATGAAACAGCAATGTAGGAGAAAAATGCTAGAGATGTACCTCCACAATCCACAACCATATACTGGGTTCCAGGTTTTTGTTCCAGTGTGTCTCGACAGGCCTCCTCTGATATGTAGCCTTCACTTGGCAGATGTTTGCAGTAAATAGATGCAGCCTCAGGCTCCAAGGCAAAGACGAGCCTCTCTGGCTCAGACTCTATCACTAGACCTGCCTGAAAATCATTTAAAAGAAATTGATGATAAGCAAGATAATAATATTACAATAGAAACAGATACTGTTATTATGTCAACAAGTATATAATAAACATTTTCACAAGATTTAGAAACTTTTGCTGGTAAGTCTCAGGAATTAGCTCATATGGGCGCAACACTGCATTTTTCAGCAGCGTTAAGGCTGACCAGACTTCTTAGGTTTTAAGCACGAGTTTGCATTGTAATAACATTTCGTGGCCACTAGAATGTAGCAGCGATTTGCTCAAGTTTTGTTTTTAAGGGTGGGGGTGTTAAGACCTTTAGTTAATGTGTTTGGATCTATGCTGCCCTCTGGTGTTCTCTCTCTGTGTTTGTACTTTGTTTGAAGGCAGACGGTTCCTGGAGGAAATTTGATGATGGATTCGATTGGTTCTCATCTCAACCTACTCTAAATAAAGCTGGAGCACTGAGTGAGACCTTTTGTGCCACAATGACTTGTTTTACGCATTAGCTTTCGCCCTTGTGTTCCTCCAGCATATTTTTCTGTTTTGCCCACCATTGAGCACTATGCCAGAGAGAGATCTGTTTGGTATGTGTAGAAACATTTAAGAGTGTGGTTAATGTTGGGATTTTGTTTTGATTTTTCTCTTGTCATTTGTTTTAATTTGTACGTTTATTCTTGCACACTCATTTCTACCCATGATGTTAAGAATTGTGGTCAATTAAATACACAATTGTGAATAATTGTGAGAAGAGAAGTGAGGGGATTTATGCCACATTGTTTTTTTCTTTTGTTTTGTTTTGTTTTTTGGGGGGAGGGGGGGGGGTAGGGTAAGTAATTGCTGTGTTTTATTTATTATTTTTATGATCTTTAGGTACGATAGTTGGCAAATAAAGGTATCTTTTTTTGCTATGTTTGGCCTGGTCTTCCCCTGAAGATACATCCTTTTGTCATGTAATAAATAAAGCTTGTTAAACTCAGATTCTCTCTGGTTTTGCCAGGTAAAGATAAACATAAATAAATAAGACTATCTTTACACACCGCCAGACTAAACTGCCTCTGTTTATTTGCTGATTATTCGTCTGTGTTTGGGTTCATCAACTCACCTCAATAGCTGCTTCTCTCATGAACTGTTTGGCCGCTGCGTTCCAGATGGCAGGAACGGTCAGGACCCATGTAACGTCTGAGGCAATGAACGTCTTGCCGGTTGTGTTTTCCTTGATCTTCTCCAGAGCGTGATCCTTCAGATATCGCAGACTCTCCGAAAAAACGGTCAGCGCCTTCATTTGGCCTCCGTTTTTTGCAGTGATCATCAGATCCCGGTGGATTTCCTTAGTGGAAAAACAATAAACAAAAGCTTTAATAATTGAGGTCTGTCTCTTAATCATGATCATAATAAAATCAAGTATGATAAGAAAGTAACTGCTCTTACCTTGTCGTAGAGCTCCATTTTAAAGTGCTCGAACAGAAAGCTTTTCCTCGCCTGACTCTTTGGAGTTGACCGAGTGTACGTCATCATGGCATCATAGCCAAACTTCTGAAACGTCTCATGTTCATCAAACAAGATGCAGGTGGGGGTTTTGAAGGTATTGTAGCCAAAGTTTACACCCCAGTTAGGGATTTGAATTGATTCTTGAGGCTGCTTGGTTTTAAAGCTGATGGCGTATCCGCTGTAGGATGTGCCAAAGTCTATAGCGATGTAAAGCACTGAGTTTGCCATTGCTCCTCAACCTGTCAGACTGTGTGTGCTAGTGCTGTCAGTCCTCCATGCCGTGCTGTATTTATAACGCTGACTTTACTTTCAGTTTGGTAAACCTGCCTTCTCACTGAAAGGGCGTCGACACTGTGAGGATATAAAGCAGACAGTCCAGACCAGAAGTGTTCACTTTAGCACTCAGACACATCTGTGACACTACATGTGATAGTACAGGACTGAATAAAGAAATAAAAGATTGTCTTGTAAATACTTAATACAGGTACTAAATTATACATTGCTTTATTCCTTTTATATTTACGCCGTGTTTCTAAATACATTCAAACATAATGGATCAAATGATGAGGTAAGACCAACAATTTCTTGAAACTGAAATGCATGCTCATGTAAAACAGACCAAAACTGCTTCAGAATGAGTCTAATCTAAACCCATGTGAACCCCTGTGTATTACTGTGTACATGTTTATTGCTGTTGTTTGTGATGAGTTTGGCTGTGGAAGTACAAGCAGCATCAGAATAGTCAGAAAACTGAACGGGAGCTCAATATTGCTGGGTAACATCATACGGTTTCTGCAAAGTTATGATCAATTATGTGTGATTTATTTTCACTAATCGTTTAGCTTTAGGGTTCAAAAAGACTACGAGGAGCTAAGGTAAAGGCATTTTAATTTATTTAATATATTTGTAATTTACCAAATGAACACATCACGAGCATTAATGCTGTTTAGCTAACTCGTACGATTTTAAAGATTAAGATTAATATAATGGTACAATTATTCATCTGTGATTTTTCTTTATGCCTAATTTTTACATTTAGTGAGGAACAACTGAACGAAGATCAAAGGTACTGTCACAGTTTTGAGTTTAATTTTAGGATTTCATGTTTAACTTATAATGTAATTGAACATTTGATATGTCAGTCATTCACTGTGATAAGTGTCTCATGCCCTGTACAGAAAGAGCTTGCTGATAGTCTGTTATGAAGACAGGTCAGGTATTGTGTAGGAGACCAATAACTCTGACCTTTATAAAGAGATTTGGTGAGAGGACACTGCAAAACAAGCAATCCATATCCATTTAAATATGTTCAGATACGGTTTTGACTGAATTTCTATTGTTTAATATTTGTATTGATTTATTTATTGTGCACTGAGAACATCTTTTCATGCTAAAAGTGTTTCCTTTTCCATTGTATACTTATAATACATGGCTTTATTACTGGCAGAATATGCTCAGAATATGACACACTGCTGCTGCAGACAGAATATATATATATGCAACCCCTAAAGAAAGAACAGTCGCTCAGACGACTGAAATAAACACTATGGGCTATGGGGCTGCAGGCTTTCATATCTATGTGAACCTGGGCTACCTTGCCGACTGGTTTAACACTAGTGAACTAGACTGTGTGAGTCTTTAAACTATATCTCCTTCGTTATTTGATAGTCAGGAGAATTCTACCAGTCCTGTGATGTGCTTTCACTGTGAACATGACAAATTCCTAAGGTAAATCCTTACAAGCCTTCTGAATATTTCTAATGTAATATACATGAAGAAACAGTCAACCAACACCTCTAATCATCTCTTTTATTTCTTTGTTGCAGAAAACAAAGAATAAGTGATCTGGACGAAAAACTGAAGCTCAATATTGCTGGGTAACATTATATGGTTTATGCAAAGTGATGATCAATTATGTGTGATTTATTTTCACTAATCGTTTACTTTAGGGTTCAAAGACAGTACGAGGAGCTAAGGTAAAGGCATTTTCATTTATTTATTAGATTTTTAATTTACCAAATGAACACATCACGAGCATTAATGTTGTTTAGCTAACTCGTACGATTTTAAAGATTAAGATTAATATAATGGTACAATTATTCATCTGTGATTTTTCTTTATGCCTAATTTTTACATTTAGTGAGGAACAACTGAATGAAGATCAAAGGTACTGTCACAGTTTTGAGTTTAATTTTAGTATTTCATGTTTAATTTATAATGTATTACACTTTATATATTATATGATATATTATGCCTTATACATTATATTTACCGAGCTTAAAATATTCTCTGTGATTTTTATTTCTGTTTTTTATCTAGGGATGAACAACTGTTCAAGGAACAAAAGTAATGACTCAAGTTTTCAACATTTCAGGGTTAAACAATATTAAATGAATTATGACTTTTACAAAATAATTGTCTACATTTAGGCTGAAGGAAGGGTTCTGTAAAGAAAGGTAATGACCGATGTGTTTATCAACATCTACTGTAGACATTTCTCTTTCTCTCAACTCTTTCCTTTAAACAGAAATAAAGTAGCCAGTGGACGCCAGTGTTTTTGATCATTTTCAGCTAAATTCAGCGGCTCTCGGGATATTTTCAGCTGTGCACACTGTTGAAGTCAGAATTATTCACCCTCCTGTTTATTTTTGTCCCTCAATTTCTGTGTAACGGAGAGCAGATTTCTCCAACACATTTCTAATCATTACAGTGTTAATAACTCATCTCTAATAACTGATGTATTTCCTCTTTGTCATGATGACAGTGAATAATATTAGACTAGATATTCTTCAAGACACTTCTATACAGCTTAAAGTGACATGTAAAGGCTCTCTAGGGTAATTAGGGTAAAGTTAGGGTAATTAGGCAAGTCATTGTATAACAGTGGTTTGTTCTGTAGACTAGCGAAATCAAATCTAGCTTAAAGGGGCAAATAATATTGACCTTATAATGGTGTTTAAACAATTAAAAACTGTTTTTATTCTAGCTAAAATAAAACAAATCAGACTTTCTCCAGAAGAACACATATTATCAGACATACTGTGAAATATTTTAAAAAGACAAAAATAAAAGGGGTTAATAATTCTGACTTCAGCTGTACATGATCATGATATCTATCAGAATAAAGATTACCTGAAAATGGTGGAAGTTATGAGGTTTACCAGCCTGATCTCACGAGGAAACGTTTGTATTTTACATTGTGTCTGTTTGGTGGCTAAGTCGTACGAGTTCAGTCGTATGAAAATGTACGATTTTAAAAAGGAGGCGTGGCACCCAACCCCGCCTCTAAACCCAACCGTCATTGGGTGATGAGCAAATCGTACTTAATTGTACGAATTAAATTATATGAATTCATGCGTATTAGCCACTGAGTCAAAAAGTACCGAAGTTCCATGAGATTGTGTTGGGTTTACATCTTTAATCACCACCTAAATGGAGAAACAACAACCATTGTTTCGCTCATTAATGTCAAGGCTGCTTGTGATGAAATCAGGAAGGTTCAGATGTCTGACCGCTTGTGTCAAAAGACAGAAGTGTATTAAAAGTTGAACTGAGCTGATGATCTAATGATCAGAACTGAAGCAGAAGTCCTCTAACTCATCCTGAGCTTTACTGTAATGTACCTAAAACACAAACACAGCTCATCAACGGGGCAGGGAAGCGTCGTCTCCTTATTGACAAGATGTACGGCAGGGAATGTTTTAGGACTTTAATTCCAGTTCAATTAAGGTGTGAAAATCCTACATAGAATCAGCTGAATATTTCACACTCATCCTCGAAGCCTGTGTGCTGATGGTTTCCAATCATACAATATAAACCCTCAGGTAGCCTGCTCCATGGAGGAGCATATTGACCCATTTAGTGTCATCTGTGTGTTCATCTGTGTGAGTCTGAAAGTCTTTATAGCTTCTGTAACTGTCTCAGGGTCATTTCCAGCTGGTGTCTTTGTTTTACAGGAAGAGGCTGGAACAGTTTACCCCATGCTTCCAGTGTTGTGAAGCAGAGCAGGAAGGGTAAGATTTACTTTATATTGATTTATATATCGTTTGTGTTCTCTTGAAAAGCTTTTGTGTTCCTTTACACAGAATCTGTTGAGTGTGGATAAACACCCTACTGTTTTTTGCATTTTACTGTGGATGGCAGAGCGCAAAAGCATTAAGGGCATGTCTGAATCTACTTTTGCTATTTTAATAATGGTAAAATTCACCCCATAACCTGCATTAAACCAATCAGAGTCTCGTCTCTCATTCTCTGTAAGAGTCAGTTGTGTCGCTTCATGGTTTACTATTGACATGTCGGACTCTGTAAGTGTAAAAGCTGATCGCTTCACTAGTGAGAACACAGTTAAACAGAACATCTGCAGCTCCAGGATAAAGAACCAGCCTCCTTCATTCAGCCTCTTTACTTTACTCCTTTACTTTGGTGGAGTGAGAAAACGGCGGAAATTCTCTCCACTGAACACATCCATCAGCCCAAATATTTAATCTCCTTTGTTAAGTGCTACGATTCGTCTAAACTATTTAACCCTTAAAGACCTAGAGGTATTTTGTGGGCACCTAATGGGCCTATATTATTATTATTTTTTTAAAGCAGTTTTATTTTTATTTTAGCAGTCAGACTCAAGTGTCATATATTATTTTAAACAGGAGAACCTGAAGTTTTAATCTGTATCATTTAAAGGTCCAGTCTAAAACTTTTTTTGGTCCAAAAACATATGAACAGACAGAAAATATTCCAGAATTTTTCAGAAACGATTTTTTAAAAAAGTGGCATTTTCTAGTTCTTACAAACAAAACCTTATGAAGTTTGTTTTTCTTTCTTTAGAAATACATGTTATGATGTTTTATACTTCCAAAATAAATTTTGTCTACATCCACCATTCCCTGAGCAAGTTATAGCAATTTATTTCAATGTTATTCCAAGGCGTTTTTCAATGGGGGAAAAAATGCATTTATTTACTGACAATGTATTTGCCCAAAACTTCTGGGAATGAACTAAACAGAAAAAATGTTGCAAAATAACAGAACACTGAAGCAAATTTGACTTTTTCCAAATAATATATTTTTAGTTACCATAAACAACACCACTTATAATGAACAAATAAAAAATAAGAAAATAATAAATAATAATAATAAATAATGCGTCAAAGTCCAAATAAACGGTGCAAATCCTCAGTAAAAAATAGATATAAATATTTACTATACTATAAATAGTCACATAACTAAACAACATTCAATATGGACCATGCTTAGGTTTTATGTGCCAGCATGGATATGGTTGTCTGTGGATATGGATATGGTTCGTGTGCAATGCAGACAAACAGCCCAACCTTCATTTGCGTCCTTTGAAAACAGCAAGAGCAGCACTTCGTCTTTGCTGTGTCACTGTTTTGTCATGTTTTTTTGCTGTTGTGCATGCAAAAGTACTTAGTATGACAATTATTTCATGCAAAACTTTTTTTTTGCGTTTTATTTAGCCGCGCGTAAATGTGCAGCCTATTTCTCATTCCGTGTTGTTCAAAGAGCTGATTGATGGTTCACAAAGCGAAACCTATGCTTATTGGTTGAGATAGAGCGAGTTTGAACCAATCTGGGCATGGAGGAGGGACAATGCATCAATGCATCATGTTTGGTTTGTCCGGAGAGACAAGTGACGAGCGTTCCTTTGTCAAATCAGCGTTGTCAAAATTTGATGACGTAACCACACTGATTCCGGAGCCTCTGAAAGTCCGTGAATGTAATGTGATGACGCTGGAAAGCTGAGATTCTCTTCTTTATGCCAATCTTTGAATTGTTTGGATCGGATCAGCGGATCAAAAGTTATTAAACATTTAAGAGAAATACTTATTTTTAGCCGCAGGCGGCTGTCTCGGTCTTTAAGGGTTAAGGCACATAACTAACACACTTTGCTGGACTTTAGCTTTTAGTTGGTCAATGTTAGCGGTGCTTCAACAATGTTCCTTAACACACCTCCTGTATAGACCAGCACAGCCATGAGTCCACAGAGCGACACAGATGGAGTTACTATTTAAACAACGAGGAGCAAAATGTGAAAATTACTGTTGCGCTGCTCTGAAAATAGCAACGAATTGTGCTAAACACGTCTTATTGCGCCAGGTCTCTGACGGTAACACTGAGCACATTTTGCAGCGTTCAACACAGTCCATGCCCACTTCATCAGGCTCAAACAGTTCTCCCAGAGGAACATGAAGAGTGTCCTCTTCCATAAAGAGTGTTGTGTCAGGGGGTTATTCTGTATTTAATCATCATTACTTTAAAATAGCATCTTCAGTAGAATTGTATTGTTTTTTCAGGAAACTAAACAAACTTTCTTATAGGTTAGAACGTTCGAGGTTACAGAAGTAACCCTTCGTTCCCCGAGGAGGGGAACGGAAGTGCCATGAATGGGAGGATTCGGATCAGAAGCCGCTTGTCTGGAGAGTATTGAACGGGCCAATGAATGAAATTAATTGGCAGCGTAAGCTTGCGCAGGTGTGCGACATCTGCAATTATCTCAGCATATAAGCACACCTGAAGCCAGCAGACGCTATCCTTTTAAGCTGAAGAGACTTTCAAACAGCTAAGGGACAGTCATTATGGCGACGGAATATGGCACTTCCGTTCCCCTCCTCGGGGAACGAAGGGTTACTTCTGTAACCTCGAACGTTCCCCTTCGGTTGGGGAACTTCAGTGCCATGAATGGGAGAATATGGAAAGCGCCATAATGACTGCACCTTACCAACACCCCCGATGAGGAGATAGTCAAGCAAGCGTGACGCACCCACATTATGGGGGGCGCGGTCCTCCAACGTGTCCCTGGCCCTAATTTATCCTACTTCAACAGAAGTTTTACGGATTTAGATATATTTTTTGGGAAGTCGTGAGCATCTAGATAATTCTAGGAATACGACAGTACGTTGGGAAGCGTGCAATCCCGATAGGGAGGACGCTGCGGAGGCCATCCGTTACCCAAGGGGGGGGTAGATGGCAGAATTTACCTATGGACTAGCCCTAAAAAGGGGGAGTACGCATAGCAAAAGAGTGGTTAGCGGAGAGGGAAGACACGGGTCCGCCCAGGGGGGGGACTTAACCGTGGCGGAATAAGCATATGGGATCGCCTAGTGGGGATCACGCATAGCAGGCACCTATACCCAAAACGCGGGCTGACCAGCGGGCAGACCTACAACGTAGTGGGCCAGCAAGTGAATCCTCCGCTGAGTCATTGCTGGGGGCCACGGAGGAATCTCACCTGACGGGGAACTTTACTGACAGATAAAAAAGGCGCACGTACCTCCGTGTTAGGGAGAATGGCGCCGCAAGCGTGTTTCAACACCCTACCAAGTTGTCTCCTCAATCACCAAAGGGTTACCTAATACCCTTGAGGAAACCGGCTCCACTCGCAGATTGTAAAACCTTGCAAATGTGTTGGGTGTCGCCCAGCCCGCAGCTCTACAGATGTCTGTTAGAGAGGCGCCGCCTGCACGCGCCCAAGAGGATGCAATGCTCCGAGTGGAGTGTGCACGTACTCCCGGGGGACACGGCTGACCTCGACTCGAATAAGCGAGTGAAATGGCATCCACAATCCAGTGGGATAATCTTTGCACTCCCCTGCTGCCGACCGCCATAACAGACAAAGAGCTGCTCAGATGATCTAAAATTCTGAGTACGGTCCACATAAATGCGCAGAGCGCGAACTGGACAAAGTAAAGAAAGGGCTGGGTCTGCCTCCTCCGGGGGCAGCGCTTGCAGGTTCACTACCTGATCTCTAAAGGGGGTGGTAGGAACCTTGGGCACATAACCGGGGCGGGGTCTCAGGATAACGTGAGAGTAATCCGGCCCGAATTCCAGGCACGAGTCACTGACCGAAAATGCCTCCAGGTCCCCGACCCTCTTGATGGAGGCCAACGCAACCAGCAGAGCTGTCTTCAGGGACAGAAATCTTAGAGATACTGATTCGAGTGGCTCAAAGGGATCGGATCGCAGACTCGTGAGAACGAGGGCGAGATCCCAAGAGGGCATGAGAGGGGGGCGAGATGGATTAATTCGCCTAGCACCCCTAAGGAACTGGATGACCAGGTTATGCTTTCCCACGGTGCCGCCAGCTACCGCGCTATGATAAGCGGAGATGGCGGCCACGTAAACCTTGAGAGTGGAGGGCGACAGCCTGCTGTCCAACTTCTCTTGAAGGAGAGAGAGCACAACACTAATCTGGCAATTTCGGGGGTCTTCTCTGCGAGAGACGCACCATTCAGTGAATAGACTCCACTTCAGGGCGTAGGCGCGCCTCGTGGAGGGGGCTCTAGCCTGAGTGATGGTATTAACCACCGCAGTCGGTAGGTTACCTAAGTCTTCCTCGCGTCTAGGGACCACACGTGGAGGTTCCAAAGATCGGGGCGAGGGTGCCAGATGGTGCCCTGTCCCTGAGAGAGTAGGTCCTCTCTCAAAGGGATCCGCCAGGGGAGGGCCGTCGCGAGGAGTGAGAGCTCTGATATCCAGGTCCGGTTGGGCCAAAGGGGCGCAACTAGCAGAACCTGTTCCTCGTCCTCCCTGACCTTGCACAGAAACTGCGCGAGCAGGCTCACTGGGGGAAACGCATACTTGCGCATGCCCCGAGGCCAGCTGTGGGCCAGTGCATCCGTGCCGAGAGAGCCCTCGGTCAGGGAAAAAAACAACTGGCAGTGAGCGTTCTCGGGGGAAGCAAACAGATCGATCTGGGCCTCCCCGAATCGCGGCCATATCAGCTGAACAGACTCGGGGTGGAGTCTCCATTCTCCAGGGCGTAACAGCTGTCGTGAGAGCGCATCGGCTGCACGATTGAGCGTGCCTGGGACGTGAATGGCGCGCAGCGATTTCAGCCGCGGGTGACTCCAGAGGAGCAGACGGCGGGCGAGCTGAGACATGCGGCGAGAGCGCATACCCCCCATGCGGTTGATATACGCCGCCGCCGCCGTACTGTCCGTCCTGACCAGCACGTGTTGCCGCTCCAGCACCGGTAAAAAGCGGTGGAGAGCGAGGAACACTGCCAACAGCTCTAGGCGATTGATATGCCAATGCAGCTGGGCACCCTTCCAGAGGCCCGCAGCCGCATGCCCGCGACACACGGCCCCCCAACCCGTGTTGGAAGCGTCTGTTGAAACAACAACATGGCTGGACGCCTGTCCTAGAGGCACACCGGCCTGTAGGAACGAGGGGTCGTTCCAAGGGCTGAGGGCGCGGCGACACAGCGCAGTAACCGAGACCCGGTGTGTGCCCGCGTGCCATGCGCGTCTGGGGACCCGATCGTGAAGCCAGTGCTGAAGTGGTCTCATATGGAGCAACCCGAGCGGCATGACGGCGGCTGCGGATACCATATGCCCCAGGAGCCTCTGAAAGAACTTCAGTGGGACCACTAGTTTGCTGTCGAGCTCCCTCAGACAGTTCAGCAACAGGCGAGCGCGTTCCTCGGAGAGGTGCGCTACCATGGTGATCGAGTCCAGCTCCATCCCGAGAAAAGAAATCCTCTGCACGGGGGCGAGTTTGCTCTTTTCTCGGTTGACCTGAAGCCCCAGTAGGCGGAGATGCCGAAGCACCTCGTCCCTGTGCATAATCAATTGCTCCCGTGAGTGGGCTAAAATCAGCCAGTCGTCGAGATAACTGAGTATGCGAATGCCCGCGAGCCGAAGGGGCGCTAGGGCACCCTCCGCGAGTTTGGTGAAGACCCGCGGAGACAGAGAGAGCCCGAAGGGGAGGACCTTGTACTGCCACGCTCGACCCTCGAACGCAAACCGCAGAAATTGGCGGTGGCGTGGAAGAATGGAGACATGGAAATACGCATCCTTCAGGTCTATGGCTGCAAACCAATCCCGAGGACGAACGCATTGGAGAATGCGCCTCTGCGTGAGCATTCTGAACGGCAGCTTGTGCAGACAGCGGTTCAAAACGCGCAGATCTAGGATTGGCCGTGACCCACCGCTCTTTTTGGGTACGATGAAGTATGGGCTGTAAAACCCACTCTCCATCTCGGCTGGAGGAACCGGCTCGATTGCACCCTTCGCCAGGAGGGCAGCAATCTCCTCTCGCAAGACAGGGGCGGACAGGGGGTTGACCCTGGAGAAATACACGCCCGTAAACTTGGGGGGCCGTTTCGCTAACTGAATCGCGTAACCGAGTCTGATTGTGCGTATGAGCCACCGCGAGGGGCTGGCCCGCGCTAACCAGGCAGGCAGAGCCCTCGCTAATGGAGTCATCGCTACAATCGCTGACGTACCAGCGGTGGGGCAGCGCGGAGTGGGTGTGCTGATCCGGGAAGCACGAGGGTCCCGCGGAAGAGCTGGAGGAGAGCGATTCGCTCTGGCTCCGCACCCTGACTCCAGAGAGGGGGCTGGAGGGCTGAGGGAAGGGAGACCGTCCCCCCAGCGCTCGTGAGCCACTGGCGAAGCACGTAGAGTCTGCGAGCCGGAAGGCAGCGCGTCCCGGACTGGCAGAACTCGTGCAGTCACATCCGGGGAAGGGAAAAAGTGCTCTTTTACTGATGTTTTGGTGGCACTGAAAAGTACCGTTGTTATCGGGGCCCCGCCCTCCAGCGGGGAAAGAGCAAGTTTCCTCTTCTCCGGATGGCCTGTCTCAGGGACGCTTCGCGGTCCGTTTACCGGACTTAACGGCGCCCTGGGCAGGAGGGGCTGCCTGCTTTCGAGGTGAACGCCGCGCCCGCTTGGCCGGAGGCGCAGGCGGGGGCGGGGCAGCACTCGTTGGCGGGCGCCCTCGGCGAGGAACAGCGGAGGTGGATGGCTCGGCGGGCGGAGCGGGCTTACGGCCACGCCGATAGATGACATTGCCCATCGCATCCGACTGCTCTTTCACCGCCTTGAATTCCTGGGTGAATTCACCGACGGTGTCGCCGAACAGGCCAGCCTGGGATATGGGCGAGTCAAGAAAGCGAACTTTGTCAACGTCGCGCATATCGGCCAGGTTTAGCCAGAGGTGGCGTTCCTGAACCACAAGTGTGGACATCGTCCTCCCCAGCGCACACGCGGCGGACTTAGTAGTCCGAAGAGCATAGTCGGTCGCGGTGCGCAGCTCATGTAATAAGCTTGGGTTGGACCCGCCCTCGTGCAGCTCGGCCAGCGCCTGCGCTTGGTAGCGCTGGTAGGTGGCCATCGCGTGCAAAGCAGAAGCAGCCTGGCCCGCAGCCTTATAAGCTCTGGCTCCGAGGGAGGCAGACAACCTACAGGCTTTGGACGGGAGGCGGGGCAAACCCCGCCACGTAGAGGCGCCACGCGGACAAAGATTGACCGCGATAGCGCGCTCCACTGACGGGATCGCCTCATACCCCCTGGCAGCTCCGCCATCAAGGGCGGTGAGAGCGGAGGCACTCGCAGCACGGGCAGAGAAAGGTGCCCTCCAGGACTGCGTGAGCCTACTGTGCACTTCCGGGAAGAAGGGGACGAGAGGCTTCGAAGGCTTCGCCTTCTGGTCCTCTACGTAGCACCCATCTAGTCGGTCCGGCCGCGGAGCTGGGGGATAAACCATCTCCAACCCCACGGCCGAAGCAGCCCGGGAAAGCACGGCTAACATGTCCGCTTCAGGATCAGATTTGACAGCGCTCACCTGCCCGGAGGGGGCGAGCGGGTCCGGATCTTCGTCGGACAGTGAAAGCCCACCCTCCGATGCCGCGGAGGACATCTGATCTCCGGTGTCAGCGAGTGTGAGAGCTACCATCTGGTTAGACGGATCACTCTCACCACCCGAAGCTTGGATGGAGCGCCGTGAGGAGCGAGAGGTCCGCGAGCCCGTGGGCGGCGGATTAGCTCCCGCTGAAACCCTCAGATCTGCCCGAGCGCCCGCTGCTTTTTTAGAACAGGAGGCAACTGGGGTGGCTCGCTCTCTTGCGAAAGTTAGCCGCGATCTTAGCTGTGCAACGGTCATGGCATCGCAATGACGACATGAACCGCCCGCGAGCACCGCATTAACATGCTGGACCCCCAGACATGCAATGCAGTGATCGTGTCCATCATCCGGAGACAGGAAACCACCGCATCCAGAAACGCACAGTCGGAGCGCCATCCTGAAAAGGACGTGCTGCACGACTGTGTTGCTCTTTTAGGAAAGTTGCAACTATACGCACCGCTCTGGAGGACCGGACCCAAAGAACCGCAGGCAAGGGAGTAACCCAGCTCGACCGTCTGCCACCGCGAAGACCCACTCTGGACCGGGAGACACACTCGTTCGCTCTGAAGTGCTGATCAGCAAGAGGAACCCTCATCGACTCACTCAGAAAGGATCTGAAGCGAAAAGGATGGCGTCTGCTGGCTTCAGGTGTGCTTATATGCTGGGATAGTTGGCGATGCAGCACACCTGCGCAAGCTTACGCTGCCAATTAATTTCATTCATTGGCCCGTTCAATACTCTCCAGATAAGCGGCTTCTGATCCGAATCCTCCCATTCATGGCACTGAAGTTCCCCAACCGAAGGGGAACACAAGATTATGGTTTATGTATGTTGTACTGCTTCAAATGTCAGTTCAGTTCAGCAGGTTGTGTTTTTAATGTGTGTGCATGCACAACAGAAGACCTTCTCATGCTGTCTGTTCACCCGTCTGCTCTTTACTTGTCTTTTTAAGGAGAAATGTGACGGACTGTCAGATCTGCAGATTTATGCAACACAAGCCTGAACAAACGTAAGTGCTTCAAGACCATTGATATGTTTCACACACACACCAATATTTATTCTTCTGGAGAAAGTCTGATTAGTTTTATTTGGGCTATAATAAAAGCAGTTTTTAATTGTTTAAACACCATTTTTAGCTCAATATTATTCACCCCTTTAAGCTATATTAGTTTTCAATAGTCTCCAGAACAAACCACTGTTATACAATGACTTGCCTAATTACTCTAACTTTACCCTAATTACCCTAGTGAAGCCTTTACATGTCACTGTAAGCTGTATAGAAGTGTCTTGAAGAATATCTAGTCTAATATTATTTACTGTCATCATGACAAAGAGGAAATAAATCAGTTATTAGAACAGTTATTAACACTATTATGTGCAGAAATGTGCTGGAGAAATCTGCTCTCTGTTAAACAGAAATTGGGGGACAGAAATAAACAGGGGAGGTCTAATAATGCAGACTTCAGCTGTAAATGAGGCTTTTGTTAATGACTGTTGTAGGATTGAACACAGTATCAGCTCTGCAACACAACACACTGTAACGCTCTCTCTGTCACACACACACACCTCCATCACTTTATTTCTGAATCATCCTTCTTCTGCTTTCTGCTCATCATTCAGGCTGATTTTTATTAATGTCTAAATTACCTGCTTAATAAATAAACACTGGTTGATTAATGAATCTGACACAGGTCAGTGTAGTAGTAGATATGGTGTGGGATGTGCTTCTTATGCTTCTTGTGTGGTTTTGTAGGTCATACTGTGACGTTTGCCCCGGCTTAAAGGAGATGGTTGATAATGGGTACGTTCATGTTTTATTTCGAGTGGTTTTGTTTCTTGTTTTTGGATTAAATAATCTCTTGGTGCAAATAAGATCTTTAATAAAGTAGATTTGACTGTTTGCTGTGAACACGGCTGTAAGCATCTATATTCAGAGTGCCACAATTACTAAGCTTCTACAAATGATAAATAAGACTTACTAGACTAAAATACATTGATTAATAATCAATAAAGGTGAAATTGATGCAAATGAGGTAAACAATATAATGTACATTTCATTGTATATTTATGAGCTGTATGATGGGATATGATGCAGCACTTCATTCTGACCCACGTCACCCTCGCTTAGATATTTGTTATTGCTGAAATCTGTTACTCACACACTGAAATAACTCTGCTTTACATTGTAGAGAGTCAACTATTGAAGATTTAAAGAAGGCCTGTGCTGAATTGAGGTAAAGCTTTCATTTACATCCTTTGAGTTCAATTTTTATGGGAAAATTCTCAGTGTAGTGCACCTAGTAAGAGCTTGATCAGCTGGTTCAGGTGTGTTTATTGGGGTTGGAACTAAAATATGCAGGACACCGGCCCTCCAGGACTGAGTTGGACACCCCTATATTAGTGTAACAAGACAGATTGGGATCCGTTTGCAGGCTTTTATTAATATCACGGTCCAACAGGCAGTGATTGGCATACACAATGTAGCAGGATAGATGGTAGTAGATTACAGGTTAAGGGTCAGGGCTGGCAGCAAACAAGCGATGTCTGAGATCAGAATAAACAGTGTAAAGGCTGGCGGTGAGGAATCACTCACTGTAGGAAGGAAGAGTCACAACAGGAAGGCCATACAGGGTATAACCGCTCACAATGTCAACAACAGAAGAACAATATCCGGGTGAGGGCGCCCTCTACTGGCCAGAAGAGGAAATCACAGTGTTAGTCTCCATGACATTTAGTGCATCATAATTGATCTGCTGTTAGTGTGAAGTGTAATAAGGGACTCATTTCTTAAATGTTCTTCATTAGTGTTTTTTGCACATGTTGTGTGTTTTATGCAAGTCTTTTGTAATGCTGTACCTCAAATATATGAAAACAGGTGGAAACTCTCCCTGCCAAACACTGCAACACCGGCTGAGGTCAACATCTGTCCCAGCCAAAATATAGCCCGTACACAAAATATGCTTCATTCATGTCATTCATAAATGTACAGTTTATATTGTCATATAAATCAGCGTGACACCTCAAAGCTCTTCCCATTGCTGCGCTCGCTCTCGTTATGAAGACACACGCTTGTAGCCATTGCTGAAAATCCTTTTAGTAGAGTTTAATATTACTTGTCTTACTCATAGATGTCATAAAGGCAAGGTAAATGGGATGGAGGAAGACAGGGAGCGGGACAGACATCATTTTTGACCACTTTACAACACCTCTGCAGCCAAAATTAAAAGGCCAGAACACACACCGGTTCATCAAATAAAGTGAAATATTCACAGAGTTATGTCTTAGATCTGTTTGAGCAAAAATATAAGCTTGTTAACATGTAAACCGTGCCGAGCTGCTGTGTTTGAGTTCCACTTTAATTGGTTTAGTTTAAACACACGAGACAATCTAGCACTAAAAGACGTTATTAAAGGACATTATTAAAGGTTTCGCTTATTTTTCAGTTGAAAGCTGATTGGATTCTCTCACAAGCTTGTGTATAGATAGTTTTAAAAAATCCATTTTTAAAAATGGAAATAAACATGGACTGGTTTATTTTGGCTAAAATAAAATCAGTTTTTAATAGTTTTAAAGCCCTGTTAAGCTCAATATTATTCATCTCTTCAGCAATATTAGTGTTGGATTGTCTCCAGAACAAACCACTGTTATACAATGACTTGCCTAATTACCCTAACTTTACTCTGATTACCCTAGTGAAGCCTTTACATGTCACTTTAAGCTGAATAGAAGCGTGTTGAAGAATATCTAGTCTAATATTATTCACTGTCATCATGACAAAGAGGAAATAAATCAGTGATTAGAGATGAGTTATGAACACTGTTATGATTAGAAATGTGTTGGAGAAATCTGCTCTCCGTTACACAGAAATTGGGGGGAAACAGCAGGGCTAATCACACATTTACAGTCCCTCATCCAGACGAGACACATCAGGGATGTGTGGATGAGGAACCATCAGCTCTGTGTTGATCACTGAATGAAGAGACTATAATCATTGCTGTTCTTCTCTCTTCCAGAGAAAAAGCGGAGCAGAGTGAGAAAAAACTGGCAGACTTCAAGGAGAGGTATATATACATATGGTTCTATCTGTTGTACAAATATAACTGAATATTTAACATGTTATGGGCACAATGCTAACATCATAGTAATGGACACAGTCATATTGAGATTCATATTGACACCAACACAGAAGGCTGTTTATGGAGTAATGGGGATGGATATGTGAATACTCCAGAGACTGTAGAATCCTTCAGTGTTGTTTGTTGATTATCAGTTTAATTGGAGATCTTCAGCACACTCCTTCTGTTTCTCCAAGGATGTCGATTGAGGCTTCTGCTGAAATAGGATTCAACAGCAAAATATTTGAAGACATAAACAACCCCTGCAGAGAATCTGAGCTGAGGAAGAGTTATGAGTTGCTGCGCGTCAAGGAGTGGCCCAAGTGCCTGATGAGTATTAAAGACCGCATTAAAAAGGGAAAAGTAGAGGATGAAAAGACGGAGAAGGAAACCATTAAAAGAATGATGAAGGTGTGAAATCCTTCTCCAGAAAGATCCACACATAATGAGACTGTAAATCTGTGTATCATATATATATATATATATATATATATATATATATATATATATATATATATATATATATATATATATATATATATATATAGTCTATAAAGTCATATACATATATAAAGTCTGCATTATTAGCCTTTTTGTTTATTTTTTCCCCAATTTCTGTGTAACAGAGAGCAGATTTCTCCAACACATTTCTAATCATAACAGTGTTAATAACTCAATATTATCAGACACACTGTGAACATTTCCTCAATCTGAGAAACATCATTTGGGAAATATTGGACAATGAAAACAAAATTCAAGGGGGGTGAATAATTCTGACTTCAACTGTATATATATATATATAATTATGACTATATAGCACATGGAGATACTAGGTGAAAATGCTATTAAATAGGATAAATCAATAGCCAAATACCAAATTGTGTGTAAATGTTGTACTTCGCAGTTTTTTTTTTTAATTCAAGACCACATTTGAAATTAAATCTAATATTTTTCTACTCCTAAAGATGTTCAGTGACCAAATGTTTATTTCTACATAACATGTAATAAAACAGTTTCATTTAAATGCACCGAGATATACTGCATCATTAAATGCTTTTAGAAAATCTCATAAAACAGTCTGTATGTGTGTAAATGTTGTGCTCTTCTCTGTAGAATGTATTCGACAAGGCTTTGACTGACATGAAGAAGAAGAGAGAGTCACTACAGGCAGTGTTCGGAATAACTGATGGAGCAAAATCCTTCAACAGAAAGGTACACAATCATATTAATAATCATTCAGACTATAGCAGGATTAATAACAGCCTGATGCACATTATGTCGGCGGTTTTGTAAAATGCGATGACATATCATGTTAATTCTTCATATCTTAACCATCACACTAAATGTCATCCAGTTGTGATTTTGATGGCAGAAACACTCTAAAAGAGGTTAAATAAGGTGAAAATGTGACAGAGTTAAACAGTAAAGAAGCGTTTCACGATGAGCAGAGAAACTGAGATGTAGAAGAGCTTCATACTGAGGCATTTATTATGCAGAACAGCCTAAAACATGATCAATGAATGAGTTCTGTCTGACACAGCTGTGAATTGACTGATGTAGAACAGTTTAATACCAAAGCAAACACCAGACTACTGCATAATACAGCAATATACACGCCAGGTAAAGGGTTTAAAAGGCTGATCCTCATACAGTCTCTGTGTTCATCTGATGGTGGAACAGTGAACTTTACATCATTACACACACAGCAGTCTGCAGAACAGAACACTTTCATTCAATAACTATTTACATCAAACACAACTGATTGAACTGAAATATTAATCAAGCAAATCCGTCACAAGAAATAGCACACGTCATTTCATGTAAAGTTTGAAAACTTTAATTTACTTTGGAGAAGATATCTGACTGTGACCAAATATAGCAGTTAGACAAACCCAAAACCAAACACGTCTCAGAGGAATCCACTAAACAGACATCATCATACTCCTGAACAAGTGTTCGTCAGAGGAGCGCTCCCGATGGCCACTGAACCCCCAACAGCCCTCATATTTGTCCAGCTGTAGTGAGTTTAGTGCTGATCAGTGCTGATACTAACAGAATATGGCATGACTATCAGAATCCAGAAGTGCTGTGTAAACATCCCCATATGATCACTGTTGACCCAACTGGACTCTGTCTTATTTTAGCAGCAGCACTGCATGGATATGGCTCTTCAGAACCTGCAGGCCATGATACTGTACGGAGAGTTCACATATTACCAGGATATAAACGCGGTATGCTGACAGAGTAAAACACACTTCATCCAGGATTTCAGGCATTAAGCAACACACCTGGTGAATAAAGCTGATTCTGCTTCTGTTTCAGGAGCTTGGACTCTGTAATCCAGACCACCTGTGTGAGTTTGCTGACCTGTGCTACAAACAGGCCTGCCTGATGGCGTTACATAACCCACCGATGACTCTCGACTGGGAGAATAAAGAGAGACACGGCCACTTCCCACTGATAAAAACAGGATAAGGTAGACATGTACACAACTAAATACATATATTAATGTTATAACTTCACTTATGAGAGTTACTGAACTAATTCTGTTGCTGTTTTGAATTATGGGCAAATATAAAATGAGGAAATAAGGAAATACTCTGTGGTCATGCTTTCTATTAGTCTGTAATATTGTTCACGGTTAGCTCTACATCATGCTGATTTTCTGGTCTGTTCCAGGTTGTGATGGTGAATCCTCTTCATCAGCGCTGCATCAGCATGTGGGTCATGAGTGCTGAAACCGCTGGATGGAGGAATCAGAACATCACTGTACTGTAGTGTCTGCAGGGCAGGCGGAGTTTAGATCAGGAGAAGGGGAAATATTAAAAGCATCTGGTGTTGTGTGGGTCAAGGGATATCCTCAATAGCATGTGTTTTATTCTGCTGATATTAGAATAAAGGTGTTATTAGTGTAACGTTAATATTTCATTCATTAAATCTTTAATATTTCCCTGCCGGAGCATTTTTATGATTTTCACCTAAATTTTTTCATGGCTCAGAATATTTCATGCCATCATTATACAAGCATTTTACAAATAAATAAAGAAAAGAGCCTCTGCTTTAAGGACAAAAGTCTTCTTGTGTGTATATATATCATCAATGGCAGGCCAATAGTTAATGTGAGGGGGAATAATTAAACTAAACTCACTGCTGATAATGGGAATGGATGATGCTCATGTTAATTCAGGAAATGGTTGTTGTTGTCATACGGTCATTTATTCCAGTGTTTGTGCTGCTCTTCTTCTTGGTCCCTGCTCTTCATACGGTGCTTATGGTTTATCTAAATGTAATATGACAGAACTGGTAATCTTGTGTGTATTTTAGATCCTCATTCACTTCTGATGGATATGTGCTCTGTAAATAACGCAGAGTTCCACACAATTCCCTCATGTTGTCGAAACACCAATCACTTAAGTTCATAAAACATAAAACAGTTAAGTTATCCCCAAAAAACCCAGGCATGGTGTTGAATGTGCGACAGTGTGAATGAGCAGCAGAGATAGTGCTTTGTGATGGTTGCTCATTCCCAACTGCTGCGAAGGGTATTGTGTGGAAGGGTTGTTTTAGCCTAATCGAGTCATACACTGTAAAAAATAAATTGTTGAGAAAACATAAAAAAATAAGGCAACTTGATGCAGTAAGAACTTTGAGTTGTCTCAACAACTGTTTTTTAGTTCTTCTCAGTAACAATATTTAGTTGAGCTAACATAATTTTCTTTGTTCATGCAATATTGATTATAGTATTGTACTAATAACGATATTCTTGTCACATCAATTAAAGCAACAGTAACTGCTATTGAGTCAATTAATTTTTTTCTGTTTAGTGGATGTTTTTTTTTTAAATCTGCAAAATACGTAATTAGTACTAGTTAGCATTTCATTCTGTTTTAATCATTCTACTTACAAATGACAAACACAAACTTACTACTTCTTCAATTTATTTCCACTGAAAGCAACAGATAAACAAGCTTTACAACAGGAAATAGCACAAACATTTGTAAATATTTTAAGATGAAAAGTGCTTCAAATTACAAACTTTGCAGTATACAGACTTTTCTGCTAATTTGCAGGCACATATGCTAGCTTTAACATTTTAACTGGAATAACAGCACAGAAATTAACAATTTAAAGATTGCATTTAACACAAACTAAATTTGCTTTGAATGCTTTTATGCACAAATTATAAACAAAAGGGTTGATTTGGACACCAGTTTCCATAAACATTTAAATCTAAATATTAAAATATAAACCTTTTAATTTTAAAATCTTTAACGGTGACTCTTTATAATAACTACACACCACGAATCATTAGCAAAGCATTAACAAATACATAATTAATTATCTGTTAAGCATTAACTCTACATTATTAGATGTTAGTAAGCACTTTATAAATACAGCTACAAATGCTGTTATAAGCTCAAAATGTGCTTAATGATTGTATTTCATACTTTGCTTTTTATTAATTGTTCCTCACTGAATTCAGTATTGCATTATTTACAAACCATTTGTATTTAAGTGTAGCTGGTGGTTTTTAAGATCATTCAGCATGAGTTAGTAAATTATTAATTCAACTATTCAAATCAGTTTCATCCATTTTTGTGACCTAATCTAAAGTGAGACTATTTTTGCTTTATAAATCTCTTATAAATGACAATTAAAAGCTGGGTATCAAATGAACAATAAATGTTTGCAATCTAATCTAAAAAAATAAAATTACTGTAAACTTTAAACATCGCCGAATAACAGAAATGTCAAAATACAATTAGCAACAAATACAATTGAATAAAATTGGATAAAACAATATATTATGATATAACATTTCAGTGTTATTTATCAAAGTTTAAACTGTACAGTAACTTCATTTTAGAGAAGGTTGCAAAGATTTTTCTTTCATTTGATAGTTTCATTTGTGTATCAATAAATAAATAGAAATGAATGAAATAGTTCATGCTCTTTTTCCCTGTTCGGAATATAACTGAGCATTTAATTGTCATTTAAAAGGGATTTATAAAGCATAAATAGTCCTCACTTTAGGTCACAAAACTGGATGAAGTCGAGTTAATAAAGCATTTATTAATATATAAATAAACTAATAGTATATGCCTGAATATTAAGATATATGAACGTTATTTGAATAGTTTATTAATAATGTACTTTCACATTCTGAATGATCTGGAAAAAACCACTACCTATTCTTAAATAACTGGTTTGTAAATAATGCAATACTTATGTAATGAAAAAAAGAATCATTAACAAAGTATGAAAATGCAATTAATTACAATTTAAGAATATAGCATTTGTGGCTGTATTTATGAAGTGCTTATTAATGCCTATTAGAGTTAATACTTAACAAATAATTAACTATTTGCTAATGCTTAACAAATGATTCATAGTGTGTAGTTATTATGAAGTGTTACCCATTTAAATGAACACAGTGCCTAAACAGTGGCTCTCATGAATCAGATTTAGTACTCAAATTGTACAAATACTGTACATACTATTTACAGTATTAGTTTAACATGCACACGTTGCGTACATCCAGTCCCAAGCTCCATGAAAACATTCTGAATTGTGTCAAAAGTGTACCGGAGTTCTTTGGGATAGGAAAAGTTGAGTGCATAAAGAAGGCCAAAGAGGTATGCTACAGCACTTGAGGTATCTGGAATGTCTTCCAAAACAACAACCTCTTCCAGTTCAACATCAATGTTCTGAATCACTGGTGATGCTGCCCGGGAGTCATCTTCCGTAACATAGAAAGCAAGATATTATATTGCAAGTAGGGCTGTCATGCTTATGAAATTTAGGTGACGATTAATTGTCAAATAAAATATTTTGATTAATGGTGATTATAGAGATTTAAAAAAATTAGCAAGTACTTGTTTATTATAGGGCTATAACAACACACACATTTAAATAATTGTAATAGTTATTTATTCAGTTAAAAATATATACCGTTATCTTTCAGAAATATGAACATTCTGAAAAAATAACAAACCAGCATAATACAATGACCATGCAAACTTAATTGCAGTTAAGCAAAATGACCAGTTACATCAAATAGTTATGATCATAAAACTGCTATGTGTAGTTTGTCTGTAGGAAGACATAGTGTTATAATTCAAATCATTAAGCAAAAGTGAATGTAACAATTAAACAGACAACATGTAAATAACAAGGAGCCCAGATCTACAAACACATAAATCATCAGGATTTATATGCAACATTAATGCAGTAATTGGAGTTTAAATATTTTAAGTGGTTTATTTTAAAATACTGTCATAAATGAATAAATGAATAAATGCTGATATGTTGTACTCTGAATACAACAGCTGCCATTTTGGTTGACAAGAATAATGTCTTAGACTCTTGGCACAACTTTAATTTTGTGTAATAACAGACAAAGCAACAGTTTCTCTTGCATCTCTTTTACATGTTCTTTCCCTTAACTACCTGCATAAATCAGTGAGCAGGTCTAAACTGGTACTAATATAGAACCTGATATCAATCTTTTAAAAATAACAAGATACTTGTGAATCATGAAATTTACAAGACACGTTTATACGTAAATTTACTTCTTATACCTTAAGGTCAGAAGATTTGTAATTTCTGTTAATGATACCTAAATTAAACATTTTAACTCAGCTAATCAAAGGTTTTCATGAAAGCTCCAAATAGATTGGCACTCAACTTTTCAAGATACCAGCAATACAGAAGCAAGTTTGGACACTCATGCTTTAAACCATTTAAATTGTTTGATACCTACTTTACATTTCTTGAAAAGGTTAGTTTGTTTCTCTCGAAGAAACAAAGGCAGGCCCTCCAAAGCAGCAGTCCTTCTGTGATTAACAATTTCTGTTGTCTGCAAAAACATAAAAAAGATACAACCAAAAAGTTACAGAATGAAAACTGAAATATCATCAACTACATAGATCAAAAACATGTAAATAATGAAAATTATTAACTTACCCTTTCATCAAGTCTTTCCAGGAGCTCTTCCATTTCATGTCCAAACGCTCCTTTTCTGGCTCTGTATAATTTCAGAAGCTTTGGTGTTTACTTGTCAGTGGCTGCCATGAAGACTTCTAGAAGGTCTTTGTTGGTGATGCGGAAAAATTCCTCACAGATCTTTTTAAAACAAACCAACCAGATTTACAGCAATCAATTTTTTTCTGTAAACAGAGCATCTTGCATTCTGTAAACTTAAAGCCTAATAAGAAAGAAAAAAAATATCTTTACCTGTTCTTGAAAAAAAGAGTGCAGGCCACCTCTCCTGAACCTCTACAATCATTGGCTGCTCTTGGACCATTTCTTTTCTTCTAAGGGAAAATGTTAGTTCCATGTTTTCACTTATGGCTGCCATGTCTCTTCTGCATTAACTTCTTTACGTTTCAGATGATTTTGTAGGTGAAGAAAAAATCTTTTTTCACAACAAATCTCATGAAATTCACATAGTCCACAATTAAAAGTTGAAAGTTGAAAAATCTCGACTGACTCTATCAGTGTTGTGGTGTGATTTAGATAAGTGGGATCGTAAAGTACCTGCAGTTTTAAAAGCACAAACACACTCCGTGTAAAGACAGGGCCAGTTGGAAATTCTATGATGATGTAGCTGATAGTGCTTCAGAAGGACATCTTCACTTGAAGTGCTGAATTTGCAGTTTTTACATGCATGAAGTCTTGAGGAGATCATCCTGAAAACAGAAATAATCAGTTATAACCTTGTATTGTTAAATCACAAATTTAAATAAAATATAATTCTTACAAAAATATATTTGAAAAAGCTTCACATTTAAAAGTTTTAAACATTTTTCAAGTTTATGCCCCCATATTTTAACATGAAACATGTTTGGGAGCAGACAATGATATTAATATCAATATATGATATTGATGTATACAGAAGAGTCCACAAATAATGTAATATAGTTAGTAATAATATATGCTTTGAAATTAAGACTATTTTAAACCTAATAGGAACTATTTATATTAATTTGACAGGATTAAATAATGTTTTAGGCAATATTTTATAAATAAAAAATATAAACTACATTTACATATTACTTTATCTAATATAATCTGAATATCCGTGCTTTATATATGCGTCACAAATTTATAAGTACAACTTACGGTCTCTCACTCGCTCTTAGTGATGGGAAGTTCGGATCATATTACTAATTTGGACCTTTGAGTCTCGTTCGTTGAGATGAACAAATCTTTTTTTCAAGTAATTTCCATCAATTTGCCAAAATATTATTAAAATGATACAAGTTATTCCAAACGCATCCACAACTAGCCCAGACGTTGATCACACTACAAACAAGTCATAACTTGAATGCTCTAGCGAAGAAAATAAGAAAATAATCGTTTGTTTACCTAGTCTTTTGTCTATGATGAGCTCAGCTCTTCTGACAGGTCTTCAAATTTGGGGGGTTCGTCTACGTCACACAGACAGACCCATATAAGCTTAACCAAAGCACAGTCTGAACCGAAAGGAGCCGTTAGTTCACCTTTCGAGTCATCTGGTTTTTGACTCGTTCGTTCATCACGTGACAGCATGTTAAGAGAGATGACTCAACGCCGAGGACTCGAAAGATGATTTAAATTTTTTCCGGCTCTGATTGCATTCCATTGCCTTATGTCTTTAAAGTGATGAACGAATGACTTAAACCCGATAGAGGACTCGAAAAATGAACTAATCTTTTCCTCCACCTGCACAAATGTACGCATGCGCGAGTGAACAAATCACTCCCAGAGAGGACTCGTCGTTCTCGAGTCATACAAAAGATTCGTTCAAATTGAACGAATCGTTCAAGAACGACCCATCACTAGGCGGTGCACACACAGAGAGAAGCACGTAAAATGAGAAAAAATGTGAAAACTCGCTAGAGAAATGAAAACGTTTCACCTAAAAACAAACAAAACCTCTGAATTCCCTAACGTAAATGTGTTAAAACTATGGTCCCAAGTTAGCCATCTTTTATCAGTGATTAACAAGCATAAAGATGTCATTTTAGTGTTAACATGAAACATTTTAAACTTAAACGGCACAGAAAAGCAGTTTCCGTTTTCTTCCCAAGTAATGTCTTAAGGAGCGGCACAAGCTTAACTGGCGTTTGGCAAACGTCTGTGCCGACCTCACGGTCCTCCGCCCTCTCGAAGGTGAGGGCGTGTGCGGGAAGGATGTCGCGCGGGGTCTCCATGCCTCCCTGAGCGATTAACTCTGCCTAAATCCGCCACTCATGTCATGAATACACGGAAACATTTATGAGTTTGGACTTAGCTGAAATATATGCCACATTAATTACCCACTGCATTTGAAACTTAAGCATATGCAATAATTCTCGTCGCTAAAAACAAACCGTCAGGTAGTGAATATAGTAAAATTCATATTGCATGCATAGAATTAGTGTTAATAAGTGTTGTTACTCACCTACAGGAACAAGTTAATGTTTAGTTCTTCGAAGAGTCGAAAATATCTGTGAAGTCCGATATGGCACCAAGACAAAATGGAGATGAGGAGCGAAACGAATGGTCAATATGGGGGAGGGTTGGCGCCGTTTTCAAACGTCGCGTCACGCATGCGCAATTTATTTAAATATCAACATACCTGTTCAACACAAAAATGTATGTCCAGAAAACTCTGGTAAACATGTAGACATAACATTTTAGCGAATATTATTGACATAACATATATTTTTATGTAGATCAGTAGTTATTCACAATTCTTAGTATATATGACAGAAAAAGTACAGTGTGCTGAACAAATTGAGATTTTATTTTTTACAGTGTATTTCTGAGCAATAAATGTATATCTGAATTAATAACAGCTTTGTTTTTGGTTTTGTTTTTGCTGTGTGTTTGTCAATGTCAAAACTGTAATGATGTTAACTGTGGGCTGCACTGCAGTCTAGTGCTGTCGTTCAACATAAAACTACTAAACCTTTCTGTTTGTGTAGTATAACACCTTTACACTGAATCCAATGACACTGAATTAAACGTATAACTGTGTCATTTGACAGCAGATATGAAGCACTCATCAAATAACTCATCCAAAACAGAAGAAAACAATATATTTACATATATAATGTACATGTGTGGCCTGTACACTGAAAAAAATAACATGCTAGATTTAATGAAGAATATAGTGCATCATTTTTGCATCCCTCTTTTTAAGCAATTTTCACGTTAAATTTAAAGCAATATTACCTTAAAATCTTTAGTTGGTGATGCTTAATATTTTGAGTATTCAAGCAAATGGTTTTGCTCAAATGTATTGGTTGGTGCAACTTAATATTTTAAGCAGTTTTTGTTTACAAATTTAAGCTATTTCCACCATTAAAGTTCAGTTTACCCAATTATTAAATCTTGAGCTCATTTAACTGAAAATGTTTAGTTCTTCAACTTTAAAATACTACGTCACTTATCAGTTAACTAACAATTAGCTATACATTACAAAGTGGAAAAAACACAGACAACAGGGTTAAAGTAAAGAACTTCTTTATTAGACAAATGCATCTTAAAACATTTCCTGAAAACATTTCCTGACCCAGCCGGGGCTCGAACCAGCGACCTTCTTGCTGTGAGGCTATTGTGCTACCCAGTCATGTATATTATCTTTTTTATATTGAGTGTTTGAAAAGCACAGCTTTGAACGTATTCAGTATTCATGTTGTGACAGGCTTTCTGTGAGCGTGCACAAAAGGTTTTATTATAACATGTTTAAAAAGGTCTAAAACGGCTGAGTCTATAAAGACCTCCGTGATGATGATAATACGCTAACGTTACAACGCAAGCCAGCACTAGCATGAAGCAACGGGAAGATCGGATCTTTCTAAAGATTCAGCTCTTTGTCTCGGCTCCCGCTTCATACATCATATTGAGCCTGAAGATTCGGCTCTTTTGGCTCGGCCCGCTTCACATCATATCGAGCCTTCTGTCTGAGCCCGCTATATGGCTGCACATATTTTGTTGTTATTATCGCGGGGAAACTTGTCGTGGTGACAGTTTTACTGGTATTATTGCAAACAATAAGATATCGCCCATCGCTAAAAGTACCATCATGTTTTCAAATAGGAAAAAAAGACTAATAAAATCGGTCAAATCGCCATTATTTAACTAACATTTATATCATGAAAAGAACATAAGTTTCAAATGTACGTTAAAATCAGGGTTAACACGTTGTGTTGTCGAGCATGCACATTTATTAAAAGCGTGCATTCGCTGTACTGTGAATTGCCATCTAAACATTTAAACATGGATTATTTAGAAGCCGGCATAAAGGACATATCATCCAACATTTGCAATTACTTAACAAAAGATGAACAGCCTTCTCCCGAGCTGATTTTCAAAAACGGACTCCTCAAATTTCGCACTGTGGTACAGCGTCACGTGGTCATCTGATGATCCTAAAATATTGGGTTCAATTGACTAAATCTCAAATTATTGCTAACGTTACTAAAAATTGCTAGTTGTTTTTCTTTATTAAATAAAGTAAACGGTGAAATTAATATTGTGTGTAACAATTGTAGTTTAAAATGAAGCAATGTCCAAAACTAAACGTTTTAAGTGAAATCTGTTTGTTTAAATGAGCCATATTTACTGTGGCTGGATTTCATTTTTTACAGTGTAAGAACGCCCTGTTACTACAACAATATTTTACACTCATTTCTTATAAAGTGTGAATAAATATCTATTTTAAAATAAAGGCCTGTTTATATCAAAGTTGATCTTTAGCCGCATCATATTGAGGTTTAATGACATCTAGTCATTATGAGGTGGTTGTTAGCCCAGTGCTCAACCCACAACATGGAGGACCAGGACACACACACTCATACACTACAGCCAGTGTAGTTGATCAGTTCCCCTATAGCGCATGTGTTTGGACTGTGGGGGAAACCCACGCCAACACGGGGAGAACGTGCAAACTCCACACAGAAACACCAACTGACCCAGCCGAGACTCGAACCAGTGATCTTCTTGCTGTGAGGTGACTGTACTAACCACTGAGCCAACATGCCGCCCCAACCCTGACCAAACACGTCTAACCCGTACTGCATACTGTCTTTAATCAGCAAGCGCTCCTTCAGATCCTAATCAGCTGGTTTAGCTGTGTTTGATCAGGATTGGAGCTAAACTCTGCAGGACAGTGGATATCCAGGATCAGGGATGTGCACTCCTGCTGTAAGCCAACAGTTCTCACCGCTGAGCCGCTCTATATATTGTGTTTTAATTTCACTACTGTCTAGATATTATTCAGTATTTGTGTTCACAGCAGGTCTTCAGACTGTTGAAATCTACATTTGTTTACACATCATTTGTGTTGGATTTTGGGGAGGCATACAGTGCGTCTGGACAGTGTTGATAGCGCTTCACTTTTCCACATTTCTTTATGTTACAGCCTTATTCCAGAATGCATGAGCTTCATTTATTTCCTCAACATTCTGCCAGCGGTGCATCAGCAGAGTATTGAGCAAAGGCTGTGAACACTGATGTACATGTGACTTTACAGATTTCAATTTTTAATGAATCTGCAACAAATTCCAAAACTCTTCACCTTGTCATTATGGGGGATTGTGTGTAGAATGTTGCGGAAATTAATCAATTTTGGAATAAAGCTGTAACATAAACAGATGTGGAAAAAGTGAAGCGCTATCAACACTTTCCAGACGCACTGAACATCCAGAATATACAACTGGAAAAACTGGAAATGCATCCTTTCACTTAGAAAAGCAAATTGAAGAGTGAAAGGCATAATAATAATACTTCCTCAGAACATCGCTGACTACAAAACTCAAGTTCCAGCTCAAACATAGCCCAAACTCTGCTGATGACTGCATCAGGTCTCAGTACTTCTGTTGCTCAGGTGAATTTCTGGAAACTGAATGTTATCAGGTGCAGTTTCAGTCTCCTTAAAGCAGTGCATTAACATTGTCATATTTTAAATGTCATTGCGTTGTTAATAACAGGTGAAAAAAACCAATAAAGTTTCATGTGACCCAAAGATGTTCAACAGGGTAACAGTAACAAAATCATCATTTTACATCTTATAAACAGGAGCATTGGAGGAGCTCTTTGAAGACACAGATTGAAGACAAAATGAACTCTGTTTACATATTTTGTCCACATATAACACAGGCACAGCAAATAAGAAAAATTAAGAGGAGTAAAATAAATAAATAAATAAAATAAAAAACACCCACATAACAAGCAAACTTGTTACAAAGATCTGTTTGAACAACAGAGTATGATGACAAAGCATGTTAAACCATTACAGAAATGATGCATTATTATGAGAGGTTTTTTCAAGGTAACAGATAAAAGGAATTTTCAAGTTGTTCAAGTTTTCTTTTCAAATAGTATGTAATTCGCTCCAAATGTAACACAGAGGCAATTTCTCCAAGCCACAGTTTACATGTAGGGGATTGCTTTTTTTTTCAAAACAGTAGCAGTAGCTTCTTGCCAGCCGTATGAGAGCAATTTATGTTGTGTA